TGGCCCATGAGGCAGTGTTTGGTTCACTGACACTATACTTGGGCTATGGAGGTGTGTGTTTGAATCCAGCTCAGCCACTTAGGAGCTGTGTAATCTTGGGCAAAGCCCTTAATGTTTTCAGGGTTCATGTTGCCATGATATGGATAACGTATGAGAAAGCGACTTGCAAACTGCACAGTATCATGCTTGCTACTTAATAGCATTTGTATAAGGGCAGCAATAAGGGTCACTATTCCACAGCTTGCTATGATGATCAAATGACCACAGTGCAAATAATAGCTGCATATATAGAGTCTTGCTCTACACCAGGCACTGTGCTGTGTACACGTGAATCATCTTTTTAAGTCCTCCTTATAACTCTATGAGACAGTGTTTGAGTTTTTCTATTGCTGTGTAGCAAACCTCCAAAGCCCTAGTGATTTCATAACAAGAATCACTCATTATCTCACAGCTCTGTGGGTTAACAAGGCATTTCTGCCTCTTGTGGTGCTGGGTGAGCTCTGCAGTGGCCTCAGTCATGTGGCTGGCAGGCGGTGCTGGCCACTGATTGGGAGTTCAGCGAGGCTCTTGGCCAGGGTCCCTGACTCTCCTCCCCACAGGCTTCTCCACGTGCCTGCTTGGGCCTTCTCATGGCGTGGTGGTTGAGTTCTAAGAATGAATATTCCAAAGGATGAGCTCCGATGTGCAAATGTTTGCCAAACCTCCGTTTGCATCACCTTTGGTCAAAGCTTGTCCCAGAGTCAGCGTGGTTCACTGGAGCTACCAAGGAACAGCCTTCTGCAGATAGGGACTACTGCTATCCCCATTTTACAAGTAAGGAAACTGAGGCTTAGAAGGGGTAGGTGACTTGACCAAGGTCAAAGAGTTACTAATTGGCAGAGTTTGAGCTGAGATGGAAAGATTTGGCAGACTTGGCTCCAGGGTCCCTGCTTTCACCCCTTCACGTATGGACTGGTCAGCTGCAAAGGCAAGGCTCCCTGTAAAGCTCCAAAGGTTGCTGCATCCCCTTTCCTGGCCCACCCACCCCAGCAACCCCCCTCCCCACCCCCTGCCTCCTTGGCCAACTGTGAAGTGCTGCCGCTGAAACGGTCTTTCTCTCCCACCACACAGTGAGCTTAAGTCCCCTCCCCTCTCCTCTTCAGCTTCCTCCCTGCTTTCTCCTTGCTCCCTAGAACCATGAGGCTGTCCTCCTTGGGGCTGCCTCAAGATGTTCTCAGAGGCCCCTGGGAGCAGAGGTTCAAGTTCAGCCAAGAACAACTATGGGGCAACCAGGGCATTCTGAGGCTGGACTTGATCCCATGTGGGGTCTCAGCCTTTTGGGGCCCAGGTCCTTTCAGTGCCCCAGAGGAATCATGAGGCCACTGACTCCATCTAGGGGCCCCTCTGGGCTGCTGTGAGTCCTGGGACATCCCCTGATTTTGCAGCCCAGGCCCTGTGGCTACAGGGGCAGTGGGGGCACTGCCCTCCAGCGGGGCAGCCAGCACCAAACTCTGTGAAAGACCTTGGCCAAGTCACTTCCCCTCTCTAGGGCTCAAGTGCTCACTGCATCATGATGGCAGGTGGACTGGAGAAGCCTCCTAAGAACCTCTTCTAGATATTGGGAGGAGGAAGCAGGAGTTTGGTTAAAGCTAGCAGGAGAATGTGCAGAACTGGGCGGCTCCAAAGTGAGGTCTTTCGTTCAGCAGGAGGGGATAGGAAGATATCGGGATGGGCAGATACACTCTGATCAGCATCTCAGCTGTACTTGCTCACTGATTCAGCCAGCATCATGGAGTCTCCTCTGTGTCGCGCTGTGGCTGGAGGCCATGAGGGTGGGCAGTTCTGTGGCAAAGCCACTGAGCTGAGAGTGGTTGGAGGGGAGGAGGGCAGGGCCGCTTCACAAAGGACCTTGGAGACAGCTGTGAAAAATGTCCACTGCATAGTGTATGTCTATTGGAGAGTTGTCACTAGTAATGACATGACCTGCTTTATGTTTTAAATAAACAGATCACTCCCATGCTGCATGAAGGATGGGCTATAGGGGTTAGAGTAGAAATGAGGGATCAGCTCATGAATTCAGGACAGTTACCTGGGCAAAGGCCACTACTCACCACAAAACAGGGAGCACCAGCATCTCACGCTCCCTACTTGCTGCCAAACCTGCTATGGAATCTCTCCCTTGGATTCCTTGTTCTGTGGCCTGGTGACTTCACCCTCCTCCCATCCATCCCACCAGCTCTCGGTGGTGTGTCAAAAACCTGCTGTGTGCAGACCCAGGCAAAGGCAAGCACTGGGCTCTCAGGCCCCAGACCCTGCCCTTGTGGTCACACCTGGTCTCCATTCCACCCACTGTTTGCAGATACCCAGAGGATAACATGCTCCTATCTCTGAAATTCCAGGCAGCCTTGGAGAATTTCAGGGGGAGGAAGTGTCCCACATTGGCAAACTTCCCATTATGGAGCAAGACCTTCAAGGAAGCCATAGGGTAAGGAATAAAGGTGCCTTCTTTCCCCTCCTTTTCTTTGGGCCACTGAAGATAGAAAGTGAGGAACCCTCCCCTTGCCTTGGAGCCCCTATCTCAGGGTTCAGTGCTTAGCTGACACCATATAATGAGTTCATCCTGGGTGCTGCTTCTCCCCTTGTGTACTCCTGACCACTTACCACCATGACTCAACTTCCAGGGACCAACAGTAGCTCTGCCCTGCCTGGTCAGCAAAGCACAAGCCTGAGTTTCCGTCTTCAACAGAGATGCAAGTTCATTCCTGTCTGTGGGTGGCACCCTGTATGTCTCCTAAGGCCTCGTCATCAGCATAGGCTCTGGGCAAGGCCAGTTTGGACTCAACCCCAATGTCATCATGGGACCTTGCTTGAGCTTGGGCAGATCTCAAGGCTGCCTAACCTTTCTGAGCCTCAGTTTCCTCAGCTGGAAAGTAGAGATAACACCCAGCTCAGGGCCACTGTACAAAAGATAAAATAACATAAATAAAACACATGATTCGTGGTAGGTGATCAAAAAATATCACTGCCTGCCCTTACCTTTTGGTAATTAATGTGGGCTCTGGGCTTACCGTCTTACATTTCAGATAGATTTTCTATAATTAAACTTTGGAGTGGATGTATTGTACAGGTTAGTTTGAATCGTACATATGCAGTAGTCTCATTCTGGCCACGAGGTGGAATAATTGGTCCTTACAGAATGGCCTGAGGTTGTTTTTCCAAACCAGCTCTCTTTGTCATCTCATCCAGATGTCCCTGTGAAGGGACAGCAAAGGAAGGTACGCAGATTCTCTGGTCCAACTGGATGAGAAGACACAGACTGGTGGCAGATGAATGACTTACCTATGCTTGCACAGTGAAGAGATGCAGATCTAGGGCTAGAACTCAGGTTTTCTTTCCTTTCTTTTTTTTTTTTTTTTTTTTTTTTTTTGAGATGGAGTCTCACTCTGTAGCCCAGGCTGGCGTACAGTGGTGTGATCTTGGCTCACTGAAACCTCTGCCTCCTGGATTCAAGCAATTCACCTGCCTCAGCTTCCCAAGTAACTGGGATTACAGGCGCCTGCCACCATGCCCACCTAATTTTTGTATTTTCAGTAGAAGATGGGGTTTCACCATGTTGGCCAGACTGGTCTCAAACTCCTGACCTCAAGTGATCCGCTAGTCTTCACCTTCCAATGTGCTGGGATTACAGGTGGGAGCCACCATGCCCAGCCTAGAACTCAGGTTTTCTGATTCTTGGACAGCTTGGTCTCTTGAGAAGCCTTTATCTGGACTTAGAAGAGCTGAACTGATAGAGGTAGGTGAAGTGGGGCTGAGCTCCCTAGCCCAGCCTGATTCTCAGTGCCAGACCACCCAGATGATGTCTAAACAGACATTTTCTAGATTTATTCTGGTCACAAGCTTCCCACAAGAGGAAGCTTGGCGCTGAAGTTGGCTGGTGACTTATTTCCTGTCCCCTTTATACCTCTGCGAAGAGTTCCAATTTATTCATTCAACAAGCATGTATGAGTTTCTTCTATAATAAGCAAAATAGTATGCATTTGTATTAGTCTGTTCTCATGCTGCTAAAAAAGACATACCCACCACTGGGTAATTTATAAAGGAAAGAGGTTTAATTGACTCACAGTTCAGCATGGCTAAGGAGGCCTCAGGAAACTTACAGCCCTGGCGGAAGCGGAAGCAAACACGTCCTTCACATGGCAGCAGCAAGGAGAAGTACAGAGCAAAGTGGGGGGAAAACTCTTTATCAAACCATCAGATCTTGTGAGAACTCATTCACTATCACAAGAACATCATGGAGGTAACCACCCCCATGATTAAATTACCCCCTACCGGTCCCTCCCATGACACGTGGGGATTATGGAAACTACAATTCGAGATGAGATTTGGGTGGAGACACAGCCAAACCATATCAGCACTGAATACTTAGAATATGCCAGACTATGCATATATTTCTTATTTAATCAACAGTCTGAGTTAGATTATTGTTAGTATTATTTCCCCTGTTTTAGTGAAGAGGAATAAAGACTCAGAGGGAAGCGATTTGCTAAAGTACACCATGTTGGATGGTGCTGTGTTAATTTGGTTAAGCTGGGGGCTATACTCCCAGAATTATCTTCCCTGTAAGGCTCCAGGTTATTGGAGCCATATAGAGTCAGCCAAATGGCAACTGGTATGAGATCTGGAAGACAGAAGTAGAATATAGGCCATTATTCTCTGAATGATTGTCGTGGTTGCATATGGTGTGAAACAGATGCAAATGTGTCTGGCAGGTCCCAGCTTGTCCTTGCTCTTTTCTGCTTCCCATCTAGCTTGTCACCCTGACTTCTGGTGCTCCTGACTAGTAAAGGCTCCAGGCCCTCAACCAGAAGATTGACTGTGGACCTGCAGAGAAGGTAGCCAGATGAAGGCATCAGTTTTCCATAACCTCTCCATGAACTTCCCTTTGTTGTTTCACCCCAGGGGCTGGAGAAATGCAAAGGTGCAAGTCATGCTTTTGGTATACATTGTGACATGGGATCACCTCTGGAAGAAACTTTGGTTTTATAAAGACTCAAATATAAAGAGATTTTGACATCTTGGTAGCCAAAGTTCCAGGGCCAAGACCTTATACAGGCATGGTATCCCCATACCATAGGAAAAAAACCCTCTGTAGAAGTTCAGCCCTCTGGACACTCAGTGTGGAAGTCTCCGGAACAGTAGGAAAATGGATTCCCCCAGGCCAGGACTGGAAGATGGAAGTCAGGCACACAAAGTACTGATGAGGCTGTTATGGAATCCTAAGAGTCACAGCCTAAGGCATATCCTGTAGCCCCCAGGTCAAGCAGGTGGGTACCAGGGGCTCCAGGTTCCTCCACAGTGCTCTGGGAAGAGACAAGTCACAGAGCTTGAAGACAGCAGCCAGTGTCTCCTTAGAGCTAGAAGACTTCCAGGAACCAAGGGAAGAATCAATGCATCATTCCCTCGACTCAGGACTCAAGACCCAATTTAAGCCACTTTGAGCTCAGCATGGTGCAGAGTTTGCCATAAAGAAGTGGTTCAGCTATGTATTAAAGAGGCAGAATTCAAGACTTGAGCAAGTCAGTTAATCCTGCTGAGCTTCAGCTTCTTGATCTGCAAAATGAGGAGACGACACCCACTTCCCAGGGTGAATTATTGAAAATGGTCAATGTGGGCATGACTTGGAAGCCCTCTCCAAATGGAAGGGCTAAGAGCTGTTCCTTCATAAGTAGAGGGTGTCGGGAGATAGGATGAAGAACTAGCTGGGGAATCAGGACCCTTGGTGTTCAGTCTAGGCTCTGGCTCTTGCCATCAGCATGACGTGGAGGCTCTGATCTTTGGAGGGAGGCAGAAGTCAGCACTAAAGGGTGTCGAATCTCTCAGTACTCTCCCAGGCCAGGTTCCCACACCCTAAATCTCACAAATCCCTCTTCTAGCAAGGTGGAGGGCGATGAGACATGAGAAGACATGCTTGAGACATGATGAGATGTGACCTCTCATGTTACCAGGAGTGGAAGGAGGGGTCCATTGTTGTGCTAAAGGAAAGACAAGGCTGGGGACTTTCCTTCCCATGTAGCAAATACTTGGAATCCAGGAGCCCTTTGGTGTAGGGGTGCCTGTGGGACTCCTGTGGTCCTGCAGATCTTCTTCTTTGTTATGTTCTTACGTTTCGAGGTTGGCTTTTCCATCCTCCTCTCTTTCTTCTTTCTTTTGCCCCAACCACTATATCATGTACTACATCTTCTTTCGTATGTGTCTCTTAGTGTTCTCTTCTTCCTTCTCTTTGTCTTTTTCCTCCATCATCATTATTAGCAAAAATGAGAGCTGATGGCAAAAGTGGTGCCCAGGGAGGGCAGGTGACTCATCCAAGGCCACACAACAGCAACTCTTATTGAGCTCCTACTGTGTACCAGGCACCCTGTCCCTTGGGACTGTCATGCCACCCCTGGCTGAGAGTGTTTATTCACACCCTGAACAGCCATGCGCAGAACTGTGAAGGCAGGATGAAGGGAGACTTCCAAAGGCAACCCGGGACGCTGAGAGCAAATGCTCACAGAGAACTTCTAATCAGAGCCTTATAAACTAGAGAAGTTAGGCCTTTAGTGATGGAAAAGATAGGGGCAAAAGGTAAGATAGCTGAGGTGAAAAAAAAAAAATCATGAAAGCCATGGTTGGATCGGTGGACACGAACTCATTCCACAGTAGAGCCTGGAAAGGAAAGAGGGAGGGAAAATAAAAGGCTACTTTCCATGATCAATAATAAAATTGTAGAAGCCATTCTGTCATACGGTCAATGAGGCTCAAACTCTGAATGTCCCTAGAAAGCAGGTGTTGGCTGTTTCAGAAAGGAATGGTTCATTTTATTTGTCATTTGACAATCACCCGTTGGTATCACTCCAGAGAAATGTATGGTCCTGGTTCAACTAAATTTCTTTCCTAGACGCTGAAAAGTGGCACCTGGCAAAGAACATGCGAACAGCAGGAAGGTGGGGAGGGGCGGCTGATGATGTCTGTGACTCCCTAGGCTCGTGAAATGACCATGGGTGGCGTGCTGGCCCTCCCTGAACCTGTCATACACAACTCTCCGTGGGGAACAGATTCCATGTCACTGTGCTTTTCAGAGGGTACGGGGATCACACTGAAAAGCACTTGGTCTCCCTTAGATGTGAATGTTCCATGGGGTTAGTCATTCCTACTGAGTGCTTGTGCAAAAGTATGTAGTTAATCACAGAAGCAGCTAATGGAGATCGATAACACTTAGCTTGAAATGAGAAGGCTGCACGGAGTACAGGCCTCATCTGACCTGACAGCTGTTGTGCTGGGTGTAGTTAGTTCAGGACATGAGGCTTCTCTTTGGGTAAAGCTTTTATTAGCAGTGCTTGGAAGCTGATCAAGTAAAAGCATGTGATGCTGCTTGAACCATGAAGTTGTTCTTCATTAAATGTGTGGCTTTGGGTCAGAGTAGCGCCTGATCTACTGACCTGCTCCCAAACACTAGCGTAAGATGAGGGGTAGGGAATTGGAAGGAGAGCTAAATTTGCATAAACCTGCTAGATTTTATGGGAACTTTAAGTAAGGAGTCTTTAAAGCAATCATTAAACTCTCTAATGTCAGGATTGAGATTACCATCTCCACCTTCAGCAAAAGTCAGCCCTTCAACTCCTGGGCAAGGGGTACTCCAGAGAAGACAAAGTACTCACCACAAGTCAGGGAAAGGGGATGGCGGTTGAAGACCTGAGCCTCAGCTTGGCCAAGATAGCAATTCCTAACTATCAAGGATGAAACTGGCTAAATTCTTACTGTGTAGCAAGTGTCCTGACCTTGAGTAGAAGGATTATTAGAACTACCCGGCATCTGTTAAAAAACAGCAAGACTGTTCATGAGATTATAGAAGCTCTAGCTATCGAGAATGAAAGATTATTTGCTTGGAGGAAAAGTCTTCTACTTCTTGGAGCAGAAAGAGCTAAATCTGGCCTCGACCGTCTGGTCAACATCCCAGTGCCAGGGACCTGGTAGAGTTGGACTCCCAAAGATGGTGTTGAGGGGATGACCCTTTCATCTGTCCATGACTGGGCTGTGACTCCATGCCAGCAATGAAACAGACTCTTGGCCCAAAAGTAGGAGATCTCCATTTCATCAGTCAACTCTTTCATTAGCTGCCAGCTACTATCTCTATTCAGGGAATCCCACAAAAGGAGTCTCACCAACTGCTAAAGACACAAAGCCAGTGGCCAGATGTGTTTGAAGAGGCAGCTTTCCTGGACCTTTCTCATGGACTCAAGCTGCCCCTCCACCTTCCGCCGTCTCCACTGCTCCCATTCTGCACTCTGCTTGCCAACAACCCTCCCCAGTAGCTGCACAGGAGACTCCAAACTCCTGTCTGCTGTCCCCACGAGTGCTCTTCTCACACTAACCAGTGCTCCCTCCCTTCCTAGCTCCTTTCTCATTAGCGTAGCACTTGCTTTATCTCTGCTAGCAGGTTTTAAGGGTCTTATGAACAGGACCCCTAACTTGCACTTTTTTCTCCTGCAGAGCTCAGTACCATGCCCTGCACATAGTGGGAGCTTAAAAATAGCTTGTTGAATGAAAGATCTGAACAAAAGCATTCCCTAGCAAGGGCTGGTCCCTTAGTAAGTTGTGTCTGTCTCTTCCAGACAACTCCTTGGCCTACTAACACTACCACCAATAATTAGTGAGTTGATTGCTTGCATTTGTGTAGTGTTCCCCAGTGCCCAGCAAACCCTCTCACTTGGTCCTTACAACAACCCTTCTCATCTATATGTTAACCAAACACAGGGGTGAAAACTCCCACCTCCACAGCAAGTTGACCAGGTGGGATGGCTCTGTGTCCTCCTGGATGACCAAATGGCCAGGGCCCATGTGGGTGTTCAGGAACCCAGGCCCAGCCGCTGCACACAGTGGTGGGAACTGTGAGACCAGGACTGTGTGCAATGAAACAAACAAAGCTTCCTCAGCTTGAGGGCTTTTCTGGTTCCCCATAGGGGGACTGTTAAAAGCTCAGCTTCAAACTTTAGAGGACCTTTCAGCCCACATCTGGAGGCCATTTCACATCCAGCTCACATCTCCAGGAAAAGCAGCCTGCATTTCATCCTGCTCCACGTCCTCCCTTGACTGGTCTGGCCCACATTCCCTGCCCCTCAGGGTCAGAATGAGAAGCAGGCACATTGACTTGAGTGAACTCATTTGCTCTCCTGTTGCCTCTGCACCTGCTCCCTCCTGGGCTATGAATCCCGTCGTTTCCACAGCAAACAGTCATAAACAGCCGGAAGGGGACCAGGACTTCAGGTGCAGGAGGAGGAATGGGGAGTAGCTGCAAACACTTTGGCAAGGCCCACTTTCATACAGATGTTTTTCGCCATAAACCAGGGGGAACTGCAAAGCAAGGAGTGGGCCAGGTTACTAATGACAAAGCCTGCAAAGTGCATTAGGCCAAGGCTCAGACAGTGACTCAGAACTTCCTCAGAGTGCTGGGCTCCATCTCACACAAAATGGGGTGGGAGAGGGGCTGGAGGCTTCAGGGACATTGAGTGTGCAGATCAGGAAGTTCGTGCTGAGAAGACCCTACTTGTGCAAAGACATGGACACCCCAAATTCCCAAGTCCATGCTCTGTTGTGGCATCAGTCCCCTTTCCTAAATTCTAATTAGCAGCATTCCTGAAATGTCTCTAGTTCACCTACCGTGTGCAGGCTTGTGACTAAGACACAGTGTCTGCACTCTTGTTTCCAACCGTGTGGGTGATGGGTACATGCACAGCCAAAGATAAACAGGTCAGATTGTGTCTTGCACTGGGGCAGGGGTACAACATGCAGGGGAAGCACAAAGTGGAGCGGAATGGAGTCATTGGTCTCAGAGCTATGGGAAAGGTCCTTGGAGGAGGTGGCAGTGAGGTGACCCTTCATAGGTGGGTAGGATTTCGATAGGCCTGGAAGGGATAGCACAGTGCAGTACAGGAAACAGCATCTGCAAGGAAGGGGATGGAATGTGCCAGGCAAGCCATGTCCTGGGAATGGCAAAGAGCCTAGTGTCCTGGAGTGTGGCATGGTTTTGGCCATAAACAGGGAGGATGGTGCTGGAAGTGTATGTAAACCCAGACCAGAGAGGGCCCCAAATGGCAGGAATAAGGAAATTATTGAGAGTATTTTACATGTGAATTAGTCACCAACTTTTATAAAAAAAAAGAGATTTCATAGACAAAGTTGGGTTCTTGCATCCTGTGAAACTCTAAGAAGTCTGGCAATTTGGGGTCTCCATTCTCTTGCAGCTATACTTAGCTGTAGCTGGGCAGTGGCTGCTCCTAAGCAGGACAAGCATCCTCCAATCTGCCCCAGTCCTCACCACTCCCTGTGGTGGCCCTTTTATCAACTCGCCCTGGCCTGCATCCCTTTGGTCATCTGCCTGCCCTCCATGGAGTTTGTGGTCTCTGCTGTAGACCCTGAGGAGATGCCAGCGATGCCAATGGATGGTGGGAAATTCCCGCCTCATTGTGTTTAGGAAAATATTTTGAGCACACTGAGAAGTCTGTAACTTGGAGTCAGTAAGGCCAGAGAGGTGTTCTTGAGAGAGTCCTTATAGAACATGAGATGCCCAGAAGGCGGAAGCAGGGAAAGCAAGGAAAGGGCAAATTGGGAAGAAATTCGTAAGTGTGACTGGCTTTGATCATGGATTAGGTGAGGAGAGTGAAGAAGAGGGAGAAGAAGCTGAAGTGAACTCCAGGATTTCAAGATTAGGATTCAGAGCAGAAGGTAGAGTCATTCGAGGAGGTAGATGTGCGAGGCAGTGCTGGGCTCTGGAACGGGCTCTGGAAGGGGATGGTGGGTACTGCTCTGACGTATGCAGTTTGAGGTTCTGGCAGACTGGAGACTCAGATTTGTGATTCTCTGCAGAGATGACACTCATGGGGACAGGCGTGGTCAGAAGGGCCCTGTTAAGGGAGGAGGTGGAGTGGAGCCATGGTTCCTCACTGCTCCACTGGCAAGCTCAGCTCCACCCTGAGAAATTCATCACAGCTTGTGTTGTGAGGATCCCTCTCTGGAGCTGCTTCCTCCCCAAATCTGTATGTTGAAATCCTAGCATGGTATTCACTAATGTGATGGCATGCAGAGGTGGGAGGTGATTAGGTCACAAGGGTGGGGTGGAACCTTCATGAATAGAATTAGTCCCCTAATAAAGGAGACAGTAGCGAGACCTCTTACCCCTTCAGCCATGTGAGGACACAGTGAGGAGATGGCCACCTCTGAGCCAGGAAGTGGGTCCTCAGCCAACACTGAATCTCCCTGGATCTTGGATTTCCCAGACTCCAAAACCGTAAGAAGTAAATGTGTGTCATTTAAGCCACCCAGTCTGTGGCGTTTTTGTTGTAGCAGCCCAAACAGGCTACGACAATCTCCCTAAGTGCATTGCTTACCTGAAAAGATGTGTCCTTCAGGGGCACGGCGATGGCCACCACTGCTTCTCAGGCACAGAGGGACAGCGGGTGTGGGCCAGGCTGGGCCTGAGTCACATGGAATAATTTTGTCTCTTGTTCCTCTGAAGCATTCCTGGAGGATGGGGTGGGGTGGGGTGGGGCTGAGTCATTTGAGCCCCTCCAGCAGATGGTGGAAGGCAGTGTGAGTCACAGCTCTGGTTCTCAATCAGAAGCAGAGTAGAGGCCTGAAGAGAATGCATTGATGGCCAGGTCTGCGATGCCCAGCTTGCTGGTAACTGTCTCTTAAACAATGACAGTTGTGGCTGTCACTGTGGAAAGCTTCACTGTTGAGACTTTCCCATGTGTTTCCTCACTGGATCTCAGTTTCTAATTATACCTTCCTTTGTGTGGATATTTGATGGTCGCATCCACGCTGGGCTCTGTGGGAGCAGGGACTGGCCCTAGTTTTGCTCATCGTCGGATCTTTGGCATCCAATCCATTTAAAATGGAAGACTGAATGAACACATTAATGAATGGCTCCATTTGGTGTGAAATTTTAATATAAAGTATGTGTATATATAACCTATTTATAAACATTTACATGCTATTTCATATATGGAAAAATAAGAATATAGCAGACATGAAAATTGAGCTTGCTGCCTAGAAACAGAGGCTGGGGATTCCTGGGTGATAGGAAAATATATTTTCACTTCACGTGTTCCTCTCTCCCCTCCATCATCTTACTTTTACAATCAGCAAAAAAGGTTTAGAAAGTAAATTATACTAATCGCATTGTTCCACAACTCTCTCTTCCACTGAACCCAATATGGTGGGTATCTTTGGTGTCTGTCAGCCTGGCCTTGATTTTGCATCCTTATGGGCTGCTGATCCACGTTCCAGCTCTCTTGGAGCCCACCCTCTGTTGGGTGGACTCCACACTTGGGTTTGGGGATGCTGGTTTGCCCCTCACCTCTTGGGTGCTGTATCCGTTTCTTGAGGAAACGTGGCCTGCATTACAGCTGGCTGGGATCTGGCTCTTAGAAGTGGACGAGATGGGGAAGTGGCAGAAGTGAGTGCTGTCCTGAGGACCCCAGACAGATGAAAGATGCAGTCCAGGCTGAGTAAGGGGAGAGGTCAGAGTCCGGTAGAGCCAGAAAGCTGTGGGGTGGTGTGCACTGTGTGCTGGATGATCCTGGTGGGCAGGCTGGGGCTTCCATAAAGAGGGAGGACTCTGTCTAGCTAGGCCTCTTGGTCCCTGATGCCAATGATGGTTTTTTTCACGGGCTCAACAAATCCAGAGCCAGCCTTTTCTGCCCATTTCTCCTCCTGCAGACCCTAGACAGGATCCGGATCTCCCAGCTTCTGTCCAAGGAAGCTGCAGGCAGAAGACAGTGAACATGCTTGAGAAACTTTGACTTGGGAGTCACAAGACTGGATACAGTCTTGGCTCCACTAGTTACTCATGCAACCCCTCTGAGCCCTGTTCAATTGAACTAAATTTGGCCTGAGGCTGCCTTCCTACTTTGAGTTCCTACATAGCAAACTGCAACTTAACTTTGTATGTAAACAAACTGCAACTTAATGAAGAGTATATTCCTGTAAAAATATCTGAGTTTCAGCCAATTAGAGCAGCTGAGCTTCAGCCAATCACAGGCTACCAACTGATCAGATCATGTCCTTATTAAGGCAGATGCCCAGCTGTGATCAATCAAGTGTTTTCTGTGTGTCACTTCCTTTTTTCTATCTGTAAATACTGCCTGCTCACATTGCTAAGTATAGCTCTCTCTGAACCTCTCCTGGTTCTGAGGACTGCCCAATTCGTGAATCATTATTTGTTCAAATACTCTGCTCAATTTATCTAATTTTTTTCTCTTACCAGCCCAAATTGACTTCCATTATATCAGGTTTTAGGATATATTCACTAAATAGCATGCAAAGTGGTTTCACATGATTATTTTAATTTTCCTTTCTATGTTCCCTCCCCCTGTTTCTTTGTTATTTGTGTCTTCTTTTTCATTTCTCAATTTACTCTTTTCCAAGGATCACCTTTTGGATTTATGTATTAGTTCTATGTTTCTCTGTTATTAATTACTTTGTTTTTGTATTTTCCTTCCTGCTGTTTTTCCTTTTCTTTCTGAATTGAATCTTATTCGCCTGTTTTATAGTTTTTTTAATGGATATATTTGTCAAGGATTATTAATTTTCCTCTGAGCACTGCTTTATTTAGATCCTCATTGGATTCAACATGTGTACTTTTTCTTTAATACACATAGTTAATTCTATTTGTTTCTAGTTTCCCCTTTAACCTAAGAGTAATAAGTTTATTAATTTAGAAAGGAGTTTATTAATTTTCAGATGAAAGGAATGTTTTCAGGATATTGTTATTGATTTTTAATTTTATTACATTTATTGTGACTAGAGAACATCACCTATATTATTTATTGAGGTTCCCTTTGTGGCTTAATGTAAGGCTTTCATGAGTGCTTATCTTCACTTGGCATTGAAAACGTGTGTTCTCTATTATTAGGGTACAGTACTTGCCCTATGATCTTACTAAGGTTGACTATAACTTGACCTGTTTCTTTTTGTTTGTTTTCTCGATCTGCCCTAGACCAAGACATACATTTAAATCTCTTGTTATGGGTGTTTATCAATTTCTCCTGATTTTTTCCATTATTCTTACTGTATAATATTTGCTACTTGTGTTGACTGCATGTTCATAATTCTTACGTCTGAGTTGTGGATTATAACCCTTGGCATTATAAAGTGTCTTCGTCTTGTATAGTGATTTCTGAATCCTCCCTTTCTTTACGTTAACTTCGTGAATCTTGATTTTTTTCTTCTTGGCATTTACCAAGTGTAACGCTGTCCGTTCTTCCATTTTCAGCCTTCCTGAATCATTTGGTTTTAGGTGTGCCTTTTGTACGGTGCACAGAGTTGGGTTTTGCTCTATGAGTCTATCCGAAATCTTTTTAAGAGGTGAATTTAGCTCATTTACATTTATAGATATGACAAATACATTTGTTTAGGGTTTTGTCATATAATTTTTTTTTTTTTTTTTTTTTGAGACAGGGTCTCACTGTTGCCCAGGCTGGAGTGCAGTGGCCCAATCTCAGCTCACTACAGCTTCTGCCTCCCGAATTCAAGCAATTCTCTTGCTTCAGCCTCCCAAGTAGCTGGGATTACAGGAGTGCCCCACCATGCCTAGCTAAATTTTGTATTTTATTTTTATGTTTATTTTTATTTTTTCCATAGAGACAGGGTTTCACCATGTTGGCCAGGCTGGTCTTGAACTCCTGGCCTCAAGTAACCTACCTGCCTCAGCTTCCCAAAGTGCTGGGATTATAGGTGTGAGCCACCATGCCTAGCTTTGTCATATAATTTTATATCATGTTTCTTGTTTTTACTTTTAATTTTTACTTACCTTTTAGTTTTTTACCCTGTGGCTTTTATTATATTATTTATTCTTTCTTTATTCTTTTATTTATTATTTTATTCTTTTTCCTTTTGGCCTTGTTTCTTTTGTGTGTGTGGTTCTTCTCATGTTAAGAAAGTGAATTGTTGTTGTTTTTCTAGTATTTACCTTTAAGATTAAAGCTTTGTGTAATGGCCTTAGCTTTCCTTAGGCAGAATATATTAGTTCTTTTCTATAAATAAGAATAAAACTAGCATGCCTCCTTTTCCCTTTCCTCTACAATGCTCTCCTGGTTTATGGAATTATCTTTTTGCATTTATCTTCACCATGTTAAATATGCATGTACTTCTATTGCCTAACTATTCAGTTTTTTTCATTATCACGTTACAGAGAAGGCAATTAGCAAAACTTACTTTGTTTCCAATATTTTTTTACCCCTCTTCTTCACCTAAAATAATTGTATTAACTATTATTGTCATAACTATATTTGTATAACTATATAATTGTATAACTATATATTGTTATATATATAATATACAGTTATATACATAATTGTATAACTATATATTGTCAACAGATATGTTTACATTTTGACTTGTGACTCACATCTGCATTTTTACTTTTGTTTTTACAGTCCTGCTCTTGAGTTTACAATAAACAGCTTCAAATAACATTATACCATTAAACAGTAGTGTAAGAAGCTCGGCACAGTATAATCCAATTTCCTTCCTCCCATTCTTTATGCTATTTTTTGTCGTACATTTTACCTGTTGTAAAGAGACTTTTAAAAGGAAAAAAAGTCTTTTCTATTTACTCCCATTTTTACCAGTTCCAGCAATCTTCATTTCTTTGTGGAGATCCAAGTTTCCATTTGATATATTCCTTCTGTCTGCAAAAGTTCCTTTGCAAGTTTTTATAGTGAATTCCCTCAGGTTTCTTTGCCTGAAAAGTATTTATTTTGCTTTTGTTTTCAAAAACTATTTTTGCTGGGTATAAAATTATGAACTGACAGGTTTTTGGTTTCCTGCCCCTGCCCTCCCCGACACTTCAAAGATGTTTTTCTAGCTCTGGATTGCAGAGGTTAAAAGTCTGCTGTAATTCTAATCTTTTACTCCTGTTTGCATGATACCCTCCTCTTTGGTTGCTTTCAAGATTTTATCTTTATCTTTGGGTTTCAGTGGTTTGACTATGATGAGCTTAATTTTTGTTTTGTTTTTATTTATTCTTGTTGGAGTTTGCTAAGATTCATGGAACTATTAATTAACTTTGGAGAGTTACTTTTAATTAATTTTGGAAAGTTCTTGGACATTGTATATTCAAATAGTTCTCTTCTAGCCTCTTTTTCTTTTCTTCTTTTTTTTTTAAGCTGGAGTCTTGCTTTGTTGCCCAGGCTGGAGTGCAGTGGCACGATCTTAGCTCAGTGCAACCTCTGCCTCCCTGGTTCAAGCAATTCTCCTTCCTCAGCCTCCTGAGTAGCCGGGATTACAGGTGCTACACCACCACGCCCAGCTAATTTTTGTATTTTTAGTAGAGACAGAGTTTGACCACGTTGGCCAGGCTGAACTCGAATTCCTGACCTCAGGTGATCTGCCTGCCTTGGCCTCCCAAAATGCTGAGATTACAGGCGTGAGCCATGGTGCCCGGCCCTCCCTCTCTTTTTCTTCTGGGATCCCAGTGTTAGATCATTGATATGGATATTGTCCACAGCTTTTGGATGCTTTTC